ACTATCTTTCTTCATTTCCTGCTAAAACGGAATCTTCACGCCCTGTAACTACTTGAATTTCCTCAGGAATGTCTGCTTTCCTATCTGGAATAGAGTTTAGAAGACGTTTCCTATAAGTATGGAGAGCACTGTACAACATATTACAAAAGGAGCCCGGGAGGCACCAGTGGTTAAAGTGCTGGGCTGCTGAAAGGTCCACAGTTGGAGTTCACCAGCCGTGGCAATCTGCATCTGTAAAGAGGATGCAAACCCTCTGGGGCAGATCTATGCTGTCCTAGAGGGTCATTTTGAGTTGAAGTTGACCCAAGAGATTCAGATGAAAAAAAAAAAAAAAAAAAGACAATTTAGGAAAAACAGTACCTGAAATGGCTTCCCACTTCCTGGGTCATTTCAGTCCATTAGAGCTGATCATCTTTGAGAACTCATTTCATATTCTCCAGAGAGCAAATGTGCTCTTTCAAGTGAACATCTGATCCTCTTATACGCTTTCATTGTAAACCCACAAACTGATGGATGAGGTTCAAATTCCAAGAAAATATTATTTTTCCAGTGCATAATTTTCCCTTAACTTTTTAATTTCAAATATTTAAATGTTATCTCATATAGGGTATTTCCACCTCTTACTCTTACTCAAAAACACATGATGTATATTTTTACAATATATATCCATCTAACGAGGTGAAAATTTCCTCTAGAAAGAACCACTGATATTTTGGGTCAGATAACAAAAAAGATTTTCTTTGTTGTTATGGAAGGCTGTCTTGTGCATTGTAGCTTGTTTAAGAGCATGCTCATTAGCCTAAGAGCATATTCATTAGCTTTTATTCATCAGTTGTCAGTAGACAAATTCTCCCTCCCCAGCTCCTGGACACAAAAACATCTCAACATCTCATTTTAAATGTTCCTGAGAGGGCAAAATTGCCCCAGTTGAATTAGACAATCATTGAATTCCTAGATATACTTAATATGTACAAGTTCTTTCTCTACCGACTTCATTGCGCATACCAGTTGCAGTGAAATAGCACCCGAACCACAGCCAATCTGTCCAAAACTAATCACAGATGTTCACTTACAAATAATCATCTACAGGGCAAGACTACCACCTGTCTCTTTTTCTTATTGTAGTGGCTTCTGTGTTGCTCCGATGCTAGAAGTTCTGTGCACAGTATTTCAATTAGCAGCAAGCAAGGCCAGCCATGGTGGACAGGTTTGAATAGAGCACCAAAAGACTAAGACACAGCAGGGGGGAAAGGCCTGGAAATCCAATAATTAGCCAGTGAAAACCTATGAATCCCAACAGAATATTGTCTGATAGAGTGCTGGAAGATGAGGCTCCTAGTTGGATCATCTCTATATCAGTACTGTCATTAGGTCGTAGAAGCCCTGGTGGAGTAGTGGTTATGCACTGGGCTACAACCCCAAGGTCAGCAGTTTGAAACCACCAGTCACTCCTTGGGAGAAAGATGAGGCTCTCTACTCCCATAAAGAGTTACAGTGTTGGAAAACCACAGGGGCAGTTCTACCCGGACCTATTTGGTTGCCATGAGTCAGGAACGTCTTGATGACAGTGAGTTTGGTCATGAGCCGATGCCGTCTCATAGCAATCCTACAGGACAGGGGGGAGCTGCCCCTGAGTTTCTGAGACTGGAGCTGTTTATGGGGTAGAGAGTCCAGTCTTTCTACCATGGAAAGGCTGGTGATCTCAAACTGTCAACCTTGCGGATAACAGTCTAATGTGTAACCATTACACCACCAGGGCTCCTCCCTGGTTGGAAGGTGCTCAGAATCCACAGTGGCTGCAACAATAGACTCAAGCATACTAAAGTACACGGAGACGGAATAGGACCAGGAAATACGGTGTTCTTTTGTACATGGGGCACTATGATAGCCACTAACTTGATAGCCACAACTTGATAGCCACTAACAATAATAGGTCAATAGGCAGGCTAATGGTCTATGGTGGTCTTCCAACATTGGATAATAATCAACTAACTCAATCAGACATACTCTAGGCCTTAGCATTCTGAAGAAAACCAAACTAAACTTGTTGCCCTTGAGTCAATGCTGACTCATAGCGACCCTGCAGAACAGGTTGGATAGAACTGTCCCATGAGTATCTGTGATTATAACTCTTTACAGGGGTAGAAAGCCCCATCTTTCTCCCACTTAGAGGCTTGTGGTTTCGAACTGCTGACCTTTCAGTTAGCAGCCCAACATGTAACTACTATGGCACCAGGGCTCCTGGGGCCTTAATATATAGTGATTTAATTCCAAAAATACACACAGAGTTGTACAAAGCAGAACACATGCACAGTGAATAGAAACCAAGTGTCAGGAGACAAACCTGGCTAAGCAGAAGCCATGAAATGAAGGTGCAAAGCAAAAGGCAGCAGCAGAAAAACTTGAGACTGGTGGACCTACAGCTTTGATGGGAAGATAATTACTGCTGTGATTTTGTCATAAAGTCTATTTATGAACCTCTTATTGTTCAATATAGTCTTTATCCCCTCATCTTACCTTAAATATGTCATCAACCAGCATACTAAGCAACCCAGAAACCAACTCTGACAAGCTTGTAATCTAGGATATTTGGAGCCAGAGTTGTAAGGTTTAGCAGTGGATTGCTAACTACAAGTTATACAGCTTAAACCCTCCAGCCACTTTGTAGGAGAAAGTTAAAGGTGTCTGCTCCTGTAATGATCTGTAACCTCAGAAACCCTTTACAGGGTCACTATGAAAATCAGCTCAATGGCAGTGGCTTGGGAAACAAGTATTAGCTATAGAATAAAATAAATATTAATCTGCACTGATATAAGAAATCCACTGAATAACTAAATAGTGGAAAGGAAACACCTTTTCCTTTGGGTAGAATTATAATTAATAAATGTAAACAGGATTATGGAAACAGGAACTTACTATTTGCCATATAGTAGTTGTAACTGTTATAGGCAAGTTATTAACAAGTGCAAACATTAGTGGGAAAAAGTGTGGTGAAAAAACAGCTATCTGAAGAGACTTAAATTATCTCCCTGTCAGGTATTTATTAATTAATATGGGAGAAATATTGGATGTAAAATAGAAAAACCTAGCAGATACCTACTTAGCCAAGTGACCAGCAATCTACTTAGTGACTAGATGCCTACTGAGCCAATGTTAACATCACCAGCAGCAAGATCTGTTGAGATAATATCATTTCTGATATGATGCACCGAGAAAGGCACAATAGAATTTCATGAACACAATTACATTCTGGAATCCCCGTTCTTCACAATGTTATCCACAATTATTTACAATCCACACAGTTTAGTGCCTTTGCATAACCAACAAAATACAGGTCAACATCTTTCTGCTACTCTCTGCTTTCGACCAAGATCCATTTGATGTCAACAAATGTCATTCCATGTTCTCTTCTGAATCTGCTGGAGCTCCTGGAATTTCCCTGTCAATGTACTGCTATTACCTTTTAAAAACTATCTTAAGTGATGCTTTACTTGCAGGGAATAGAGTTGGATACTTTCCACACTGTTTGATCATCTTGCACACACACAGGATCTCTTTCCGATGAGCTGGCAGAGATGAGGAAGCACTTCTAGTGGTCATCCATTTGTGATCTCAAGTAGTAGTCTATCAATTCTAGAGCCTTGTATTTTTGCCAATGCTGCCTTTCTCCAATACCATATGTCCCTGATAATACAATAACTCAACTGAATATTGACCAATTCTCTTTAGAACAGTGGCCGTGTGTTCCTTCCAACTTCTTTCGGTGTTTCCTCTATTGTTCAATATTTTGCCCAGAACCCTTCAATATTGCATTTCAAGTGTAGAACTATTTTTCAGTGCTTTCAACTTGAGAAATGTTCCGTGTATTCTTCCCTTGTTTTCTAAAGGTAGGTCTTTGAATATTTCATTATTCAGTACTTTACTTTGCCTTCTTTAGCCACTCTGAAATCTTATTTTACTTAATTCATTAGTTTAGCTCCTTTACTTCATTATTTATTCCTTTCCTTTTTTAGCTACACTACATTCGAGAATATGTTTTGGAGTCTCCCCTGACATCTGTTTCCGTTTTCTCTTTCTTTCCTGTCTTTTAAATGGCCTAATTCTTAAGATGGCTTCTAAATACAGGTGGGGTATATTCAACAATACCCTCATGGTCTTTATAAATGTTCTTCAGCTTAAACTTGAACTTGCGAATGAATTGATGTTTTGTTCCACAAGTGCCCTGGTCCAGGTTCTGACTAATGATCTTGAGCTTCTCTATTGTCTCTTTCCACAAATGTGTCAATTTTATTCCCATGCATTTGATCAGGCAAGGCCCATGCGCAAAGATGTTTTTTATGCTGTTGAAAAAAGTTTTTGCAATAAAGAAGTCCTTGATCTTGCAAAATTCTATCACGAGGTCTCCAGCATTGTTTCGATCCCCAAGGCTATAGTTTCCTTCATTAGTTCTCAACTTTTGCATCTCAATCACCAGTAATTATCAGTACATCTTGATTGCACATCTGATTAATTTCAGACTGCAGAAATTGGTAGAGATCTTCAATTTCTTCATCTTTGGCATCGGTGGCTAGTGTGTAAATCTGCATATTAACTCCCCTTCCTTGTAGCCATGCGGATATAATCTTATCGCTGACAGTACTCAGGATAGATCTCAAAATGTTTTCTTTGACAATGAATGGGATGCCACTGATCTTGAATTTGTCATCCTCAGCATAGATCATATGATTCATTATACAAACAACCAATAGCAGTCTATTCCAGTTTATTAGAGTCTAAGACAGCAATCATCAGCTGATGGGTTCAAAGTGCTGATTTTGGCATTAGCAGCCAGAGAGTAACCCAGCACACCAGGGCTCCTTCTATGCTAGCCAGCCAATGCCAACTTTAGAAAGTAACAATAGACAGATACCCATATTTTATTATCTTCCACATCTCACACTGAAAATGATGTTTTAATGTTTAGTATGTGGGCAAACTAAAAGAACAGTATTCCCCAATACAATCCCCAATTCCCCAATACAAATGTCTTTCCACTTACATTTAGGAAAGATTGCCTACACTATTACAAATATATATAAAATAAAACCTTTACTATGTCCAGTTTTAAAGAGAGCCTGAACTGGGTAAGGAAAAGTGGAATGCTTCTTATTGGAAGGTGTTGCTTCATTTGTAACGTTCCTTCCTTGGTTCCCAGAACTGAAGTGGTGTGGAAGCGAACCTCCAATGACTGCAGGGCGTTTCGCACTCGTGCTGAGAGTCTGGCAGCGGCATCACACTACCGTTAAAATGTCCTAAAAATACATAAGGAGGATGTTCATGAAAGTCAATTTCCAGTGTGCTCCCCTTCCTTACTTCAAGTGAAAAAAACTAATAAAAATAATCCAATTTTAAAATCTAGAAAAGTGTTCAGAGTTACAGAAAAACCTAGCACAACCTCTACTACTAATTTTCCTCATAAAGCAAAAAAAGAAGAAGAAGAAGCAACTTTAAAGATGGAAGGAGAGTATTTGGGCATTTTTATTTGCCCTTTCCTCGGCTTCTCTGCTGGTACTCTTGACTTTCATTCTCAACGTAGGTCCCTGATCCCTGGTATGGTGGGAGCAAAGCAGACTTAATTTGCAAAGAATTGTGCTAGTCTGCTTGCCTGTCTGGTTAGAAGAACTGATTCCAAGCAGAGCTTGTCTTTGTTTTGCCTAACTCAGCAGGCATTCCTCAAAAACATTTCAAGTGTACCAGTTTTGCAGTCTTTGCCTTCAAAGATTATAGGGGAGGTATAGAATCAGCCACCAAAAGCTGGGAGAAAGGTTATTTCTGAATAACCAGCCATGTGAACTATGGAGTTTTACAAAAGCTACATGTATGCCAGAAAGGGTGCTCAAAGGTATAACTTACAGAAGCTAAATAAGATGAGTGTAAGCCAGAAGTGAAGGCTAAGAGACAATGATAAATGCTTGTTAAGTTTTGCAGGAGTGCCCCAGCACTGAGCCGAAGTGCAAAGCCTGGGAGAGGTCTGTTTATTTGTTTGAGGAAGATCCTGGCATTCAAGGAAATCTCCATCCAAACATTAGCCAAACACAAGTTATAGGAATAAATGCTTGAGAAGCTCTTGATGGAGTTCTTCAGATCAGAGTCAAGCTGTAAAGATGGGGAAAGTACCCTCCCCTTACCCCACCCTTCCCTTTTTCTAGCTCCCCTCTTTTAGTTCCGGATGTGTAAGGAAGTCTCAGTCAGGTCACTCGCTGACCACTGAGATAACAGGAGGGAGAGTCCAGTGTCCATGCAAGACAAGGAATGGAACCTTTGCAAAAATAGTATGGAAATGTTGATAAATCAACCATGTATGATGAAAAGAGCAGTGTCTACCCAAATACAGAGGGTTAGGAAGTGAGGAGGAACAGAGACAGCAGACACCAGGAGAAAGTGGGGTAAGAAATGGTACACGGACGGATAAGTTCTAACAAAATGTGTATAAATTATTGAATGTAAAACTGAGGATGTGCTCTGTATATGTTATCCAATTCACAAGATTTTTTAAAAGTCACTAAATCAATCAATAGCTAACAACCAATCACAGCAATATCTGGGGAGACAATCTGATATTTAAAAAACAAATAGACAAAGCATCCTTGAGAAAGGGCAGACATTGGACTTGCTAGACAAAGTCCTTAAATCAACTGTGTTAAATAAGTGTAAATAAGTAAGAAAACTATGGTTCAAGAAACACTGAAACCAGGAAAATGATATAGGAATAAAAATGAGAGTATTAGCAGAGAGAAATTATTAAAAAACAATTCTGAAACTGAAAAGTGAGCAAATATGATCAATTCATTTAGTGAGCTCAATATCAGATGTGAGCAAGCAGAAGAATCAGTGAATTTGCATGTAGAACAACTGAAATTATTTACTACTCTGAGAATAAAAAGGAATGAAGTCAACAGAGCTCAAGGGATCTGAGGGATACCATCAAACATGCCAATTATAAGCATCATGAGAGTTCTAGATGGGTAACAGAATCAGAAAGGGGCAGAGAGCAGATTTAAAGAAATTAAGGCCACATATTTCCTAAATTTTGCAAGGAATGGAACCTTTGCAAAAATAGTATGGAAATGTTGATAAATATTTAACATAAATTTAACACATAAATTTAACACACTACGAAGTTCAACAAATTCCAATCAGGATAAGGTCAGAAAGACCCACACTGAGACACTTTATAGCTAGATGCCAAAAGACAACAAGGGAACCTTCAAAGCGGCTAAAGAGAAGTGCTCAAAGATCCTCAGAGACAAGCAGCCAGCAGAAGCCATTGAGGCCAAGAGGCAATGTGATCACACATTCAAAGCACTCACTGAAAAATAAATGACTGCAAGGCCAAACAAACTAGCACTTCCCCATTAAAGGGGCAGGGGAAGCAGACCAAGTGAAAGTTCCTAGAAGTTTGATCTATACATTCAGCTGACACTCTGATATGTAAACAAGCTGATCACGGGTAGTAAAAATTTGAGTCAAGCATTATTTTGGGGGAAAACCACAGCTTTCAACAAGGTTTCAAATACTATAGTAAGTACTTTTCATTTAGAAAACTAACAATGTAAACCAAGTAAGTTCCTATATAACTTGTACATTCTAAAATACTGTACCGTGATTTTCTTTATCTGAAATTCAGGCTAAGTAAATCTATAGAGACAGCTATTAGATTCATAGCTTCTTAGGGTCATGATAGAGGAGGTTGGAGGAGAATGGGGAGCTAACAATAATGGATATAAGAATCAATTATCTAAACTTGTTTGTGGTGATGAACGCACAACTCTCTTTAATATATTAAAACAATTGAATTATATAATATGTAAGTTATATATCAATAAATTTATTAAAAAATTAAATGTACGAGCCCCCAATAAAATAATAAAAAAAGAAATACCATACTGACTTTGAGCATGTTCTTGTCTTTATCATAATATATAACACATAAAAGAATGTACGATTAAAACCTATCAGAACTTCTAAGGTAATATCATGGTGCATATGTTAGTAAAAAATTGCTTTTTGGCATTCTTGATAACACCCAAGCACACTCACTGGCAGCAAGTCAATTCTGACTCACAGTGACCCTGCCGACAGAGTAGCACTGCTCCTGTGGGTTTCTGAGACGGTGACCCTTTACGAAGCGTAGAAGGCCCCATCTGTTGGTTTCAACTGCTGACCTTGAACTCATAACCCATTGTTGGGAAAGTTAGCTATTATCCCAATTAACTTTAATTATTTTTTAATCATTTTATTGGGGGCTCATACAGCTCCCTAACAATCTATACATACACCCATTCTGTCAAGCACATTTGTACATTTGTTGCCATCAACATTTTCTTTCTACTTGAGCCATTGGTATCAGCTCATTTTTTCCCTCCCTCCCCAACCCTCCTTCATGAACCCTTGATAATTTATAAATTGTTATTAGTTTTTCACGTCATACACTGACCAACGTCTCCCTTCACTCACTTTTCTGTTGTCCGTCCCCCAGGGAGGGGGTTATATGTAGATCACTGTGATCGGTTTCCCCTTTCTCCCCCCACCTTCCCCTTCCCCTCCTGGTATCACTACTCTCATTATTGGTCCTGAAGGGTTTATCTGTCCTGGATTCCCTGTGTTTCCAGTTGCTATCTGTACCAATGTAATCCTCTGGTCTAGCCAGATTTGTAAGGTAGAATTGGGATCATGATAGTGGGAGGAAGGAAGCATTAAAGAACTAGAGGAAAGTTGTATGTTCTAGCAGTGCTATACTGTACCGTGATTCGCTCATCTCTTCCTTGTGACCCTTCTGTCAGGAGGTGTCCAATTGTCTAAAGATGTGCTTTGGGTCTTCACTCTGTACTCCCCCTCATTCACATTGATATGATTTTTTGTTCTGGGCCTCTGATCCCAAATACTTGAGCCTATTGATACCTCATGATCACACAGGCGGGTGTGCTTCCTCCATGTGGATTTTTTGCTTCTCAGCTAGATGGCCATTTGTTTGTCTTCAAGCCTTTAAGACCCCAGAAGCTAGAGCTTTTGATAGCCAGGCATCATCAGCTTTCTTTAACTCATTTGCTATGCACCC